GGCCTCCGCCTGTGCGGGCCAGATTCGTTTCCCGACCCCAGCCCCGCTCCAGGCGCGTCCGCCGAGACCGCTGCGCCGAGCCGCCCGCCCGTGCCCGCCGCGCGCAGCCCGTCCCGCCCGGACCTCTGAGCGCTTACCGGCCACGTGCTTCGGTGTTTCCCTCACGGCGCGCTTTGCGGCCGGGCTCTGGCGTTTCTGAGGTTCACTTCGCTTTCTTTCAGACTCGAACCTAGCTTGCGTCGCAAGCACCTCGGGGACCGCTCGCAGCCAGGCGGCGGAAGCCGGGGGATCAGGGCGCCCCCGGGCGGCTCCCCAGGCCCCGGATCCCGGACCCCGCACCGCCGACCCGCGTCTCTCCCGCGGGAGCGCTCCGTCCCGCGCAGGCGCGTCCGACGAGGTCGGGGCTCAGCCCCTGGGTTCCCGCGGCCACCCATCCGGATAAGGGGTGCACACCCGCGGCCTGGGCCTGCTTTTCGTACTTCTTTGAATTCAGATCATAAGCGGGAGGATTCTGGTCACATCCCCGTCTGCCAGGGCCCTTTCACAAGCAGCCCCCGGCTCGCTCCCCAGGAGCTCGTTCCAGAGCAGGCAGAGCCAGGCCAAGGGCTCTCCCAGCTCAAGGGTCTTCAGCCTCCTAAGAGGTGGGTAACGGGGCTGCTTCTCTTTGACACCTTCAGTGGGCTCAGCCAGTCTTTAGCCTGCACGACCAAGGCCTGAATTCAGTTCCCAGCACACGAAATAAATAAATAAACAAGCAAGCAAGCAAAGGACAGCAGGGTAGGGGTGGACGTGTCCCGAGCAGGACAGTCTCTTGGTGACCTTGGGCTGACACAAACCCCCCGCCATAGTTTTCGAGGAAAACTATCGAACGTGGCTCTGTTCTAATCCCACTTGGAGGCAGGGTGCATCCTCACTTTGGCCCAGCGAATCAAGCAGCCTCTTTGGGGGCCCTTGAGCTGCAGTAGGAGACATGTAGATGGGGCCCCCGTCACTGGCAGCTTTCTCAGTTCTTGGAGCACAGACTCTTCGTGGGTCCTGGCCTCTGTTGGCCCTTCCTGTCTGTCATATGCACACTTCCTGGAACCTGTGTGCGTGAGGGTCTGCCTGACCAAACAAGGTAGGTGGAAATGCCAACCAACGCAAGGCAGACCACTGTGCATTTGTAGTTATTGCCACAATCTGCCGCTTCCAAGGAGGTAGAGACGGTGTCTGCTGCTCTTGCCCACGACCCGGAATGACTGGAGAGCTGCGGGCCTCCTGCCGTGGACACATTCAACCCAAAGCTCATGGCACCTTCCGTCTTCAAGAGTTCCTTATGTTCCCGCTTCAAGAGGAGCAAGTGTGGCCCCTTAGGAAGGTGAGGAGTTCGGATTATAGCGTCTGAACTTCTTAAAAACATTTAAACTCCAACTCTCCCCCAAGTTTGACCAAGGACAGAAGAATATCAAGGGAGATATGCAGCCTCAGAAAGCTATCGAGTCTCCAACGTTATGGGGACAGTATTGGATTTGCTTTTCCATTACAAAATGCTCTCCGTTAATTTAATCCTCTCTGTGGAGGTCAAGAGGAGACATCTGGACCTTACAGAACAGAAAATCACTGAAGAGATGAACAGACAGCGAAGACCAGCCTGAGCCCACCTGAACGACTGTCAGGTGAGGACGGCCTTGTGGAAGGCAAGGCTGACGGCTACAGCCTACAGCTGGGACAGGAGGCTGCCCAGCGCGGGGTGGGCCACACTTCTGGGTGTACCTGGTGGTCAGGTGTGACTTTAGGAACTTTGTGTGGCCCCCGGCCTTCCCTCTCTTGAACGGTTCCCTGCGTGCCCTTGGGCTGCTGTGAACACTGTGTGCTGTACAGTTTCCCCACGAGGCCTCTCCCACTATCACTGTCCTGATCAGTTCTGTACAGTGCCAGTAACTGTTGACACATCACTCTCTCCCTGTCAGCAGTTTACAGGAGGACTTGCTCTGCATGCTTTGGGTTCTACATTGTATGGGTTTCGCAGAAGGTACAACCCCTTGCTTTCACCGTTAGAGTGTCATAGAGATGAGCTTTGCGACCTGAAAATCCTCTCTGCTTCTCCTGCAAGACCCTGACAACCTCTGATCCTTTCTCTGTCTGGGAAGGTCTACCTCTTCCAGATGCTGACAGGTGGACGCCTGCAGGCAACCTTCCCGTACCAGTCACCCTCTTTTGCTTTCTAGTATGCACCAAAGGGCTGTCACATCTCTTCTTGCTTTCATGCCTTGTTTTCTTTTAGTGATATTTTCTCACCTTTAAGTATGTAGTTTGACTTATTTAGCCCATTGATATGATGAGTTCCGTTAGTTGACTTCTGAATGTTGAACCGAACTTGCCTTACCTGGGCTAAATCCCAATAAGTCACCATGCATTCTCTTCGTGCTGTGATGAATTAGATTTGCTGATATTTTCTTGAAGCGTTTTGCATCTCTGTTCACGAGAATGAGGAGTCTGGTGTGCAGTTTTCTTGTAATATCCTGTTGCTTTTGGTGCAGGAGAAATGCTGGTCTCATTGGATGAGTTAGGAAGTATTCCCTCTGTTTCTAGCTTCTGAAAAAGGCTATGAAGAATTAGTATAAATTGTTTCTTGTGTGTCTGCTAGAATTCACCAGTGTGCTCAGCTTGGCCAAGTACTTTCTATTTTGGAAAGTTATCCATAACTAAATTAAACTTCTTTTTTTTTTTATTTTTTTATTTATTTATTTTTTTTTTGGTTTTTCTCCGGTACCGGGAACCGAACTCACGACCTTGCGCTTGCCAGGCAGGCGCTTTTGCCGCTGAGCTAAATCCCCAGCCCCTAAATTAAACTTCTTTAATACACATAGGCCAATTCAAATGGTTTATTCTGTCTTGTGTTAGTTTTGGCAGTATGTCTGTCTTTCAAGGACTCGGCCCACTTCATCTTTCTCCATCTTTTCACTTTTATTTATTTTTTTGTTGTTGCTTTTTCCGGTACCGGAAATCAAACTCACTACCTGCGCTTGCCAGGCAGGTGCTGTGCTGCTGAGCTAAATCCCCAGCCCCATCATCTTTTCACTTTTAGTCTTTAAGTTATTCGATCTGTGGGCATGGAGTTCATAGTATCACATTATTAGCCTTTTGATGTTTATGGGTCTTGTAGTGATGGCATCTCTTTCATTCTAATTCTAGTAATTTCTTTCTTCTCCATCGTTTTTTCTTAGCCTGGCCAGAGGTTTATAAAAAAAAAAAAAAAAAAAAACAGCTTTTGTTTTTACTGATTTTCTCTACTAATTTCCCATATTTGATTTTATTGATTTCTGGTTTAATATTTATTATTCTTTTCTTATACCTACTTTGGATTTAGTTTGCTCTTCTTTTTACAGTTCTCAGGTGAACCATAGATTATTGACTTTAGATCCTTTCCAGTTGTTATGGTTTGCACCTGGATATCCCGCCAAAGCCTCATGCAATCATGGGGTGGGCTTCTAGAGTTCATGAGTGATTCATGGTCCAATGTTGGAATTATGGGTGTGAGTGCTGCACCTGCCCTGGGACAGGTAGTTTGCATACAGTGTAAGGGAGGGAAGAGGCTGCTTCCCACAGCAACCCCCTTTTGCTCTTGTTGCTTTTGTTGTGTTCCACCACCATGAACAGTTATCCTCTGCCATGTGCCACTCTGCCTCAGAGCCAGCTGAGTATGGACTGAAACCTCTATAAACTGTGAGCTAAATAAACCTTTGCTTCCTTAATTTTGGGTAGTGGGTATTTTGTCTCAGCAATGAGAGAAAATAATCAAGTAACCAAGACACCAGTATATTCAATGAATGACACAGACTTCACATACACACTGTTTTAGCTACATTCTGCATATTTTGATCAATTCCATTGTCAGTCACAGCATTTTTACTTTCTCTTTAGATTTCCTTTTTGACCAATGTGTTGTCTAAATGTCTTGAGATTTTCCTATCTTCCTGTTATTAACTTCTAGGTTAATTACTGTAGTCTAAGAGCGGACATGTTTTTTATTTTACATCAGTTAAGGTGTGTTTTAGGGCCATGAATGTGCTCTGCCATACTAAATTTCCCATGTGAATATGAGAAGCATGTGTACTCCACTATTGCTAGAGAGTAGTTGATAAATGTGAGTTATATCCAGTTGATGATGGTATTGATGAGTTCAACTATGTGCTTACAGACTTTCTGCCTTTGGGATCTGCCCATTTCTCTTCAAAGTTGAAGAGTCCAACTATAATAATGAATTCATCTTTTTCTTGCATTTCCATTGATTTTTACCTCATATATTTTGATGCTCTCTTATTATGTACATGCAAATAAAGGATTTTTATATCTTCTTTGAGAATGACCCTTATCATTAATGCCCATCTTTATCTTTGATAAATTGTTTTGCTCAGAAGTTGGCTTCATCTATCTGTGTGAGTTTGTGGCCACCCTGGACTGCATAGCAAGACCTTGTCTCAAAAAAAAAAAAAAAAAAAAAGTTGACTTTGTCCAAAATTAATATAACTACTCCTGTTTTCTTTTGATTAGCATTAACACAGCATATCTTTCTCCATCTTCTGACTTTTTGTCTATATATGTCTTCATATGTAAAGTGAGGTTTTTTTGCAGATATCATATAGTTGGACCTTTGGATGAATTTTTTTTTACCTGAGACAAGGCTTGCTTTCTACCCAGGCTGGTCTTAAACTCCTGGGCTCAAAGGGTCCTATACCTCAGTCTCCAGAATGGGCTTGGGCTGCTGTGCTCATGTCACTGGCTGTCCTTCTTTAAATCTGTGCTGATGATCTGTCTCTCATTTCGTGTGTTTACACAACCAGTGCTTACAGTGATACATGATGTGAATAGTCAGATAGGCACTACCTTACTTATTACTGTTTTCTATTTCTTGCCTATGGTTTTGGATCCTACTTTTGTCGTCCATTCTTTTCTGTCTGTTTTAGTGTTCACTGAGCACTGTGTATGATTTCACTCCCTCTATTCTTTAGCATAACAGTTATGCTTTTTAAACTGTAGTTTGCAATATTTATTTACAAGTAGTCCAATTTTCAAGTGACATTGCACCATTTCTCAGAGAATGAGGGTGTATTATGATAATGAAGTGTCCTCCTTCTTTTCCCACTCCATAGCTCATCTCACAGATTTGCATATGTGTAATAATGTGTGTGGACATGATAACATATATGTATAATAAGATACATTGTTACTGTCATTTTAAGCAAAATGTTATGTCAAATCAATTAGGAATTTTAAAAACCAGTTTTATTTTACCTTCACTTATTTATTCTCCTAGTGCTTTTCTTTTCTTTACATTGATCTGAATTTCTAATTGATCTCATTTTGCTTCTTTGAAAAGCAGTTCTGAGGGGCTGGGGATTTAGCTCCAGTGGCAAAGCGCCTGCCTGGCAAGCGCAAGGTCATGAGTTTGGTTTCCGGTACCGGAGAAAAACCAAAACCAAAAAAAAAAAAAAAGAAATGAGAGGGGAAAAGGAAAACCTGCTAAGCTTCCAAGAGCAGAGACGATGCCTTGTTGGAGCAGAGGTAAAATTCAGCTGGCACAAGGAAGGTTTAATAGTTGCTGGAGGTGACACCCAAAACTTTTGAAGTTTTACAAATGAAACAGCCAACCTACAACACCCCAAAGGACAAACCTGAGTTGATATTTTCATCTTGCATATGTCTGTCTGCCAAGCTGAAAGGAAGCTGCAAGGGATCCCAGTACAGACCATGAAGTGCATGTACTGAGGGGAGCGAGTATCTGTGCACCTACAGCCATCCACAGGAGACCCAGGCAAGAAGCCTGCAGGGAGAGGAGGCTCTCTGAGGACCACGGTTCAATTTCCCTTTAATGTGGCCACACTGACCTCATGCGCGTTCTAGTATGGGGCAATGCTTTAACGGGGACAGAAGTGGATTCTCTCTTTTCTTCCTTAGTGTGTACGTTGTTGGCATAACATGGACTTACCATAGAGAAGCCAGTATGGGAATGTACTCTCTCTGAATATGGTGGAGGCTTTCTGCCTGATAAAGTCCTTTCAGTGTCTAAAAATATGGAGCTGCAATTTGGAGGCTGAGGCAGGAGGATTGCTGCCAATTCAAGGCCTACCTGGGCTGCATAGTGAGTTCAAGTCCAGGCTACACTACATAGTGAGACCCTGTCTCCAAAATAATTCAATAAACAAATAAATGGAGGGAGGGTGAAACCTTGTAATGTTAGAACTAATAAAGTAACTAAAACAATTTTCAAAAAGAAGCCATCAGTCTGGACCTGTGGGTGAATGAAGGATGGTATGGTTTGTGTCTAGATGTCCCCCTAAAGGCTCATGCAGGCATAAGGGTGGGCTTCTAGAGTTTGTGATTGATTCAGGTTCAGTGCT